TTTCAACCATACAAAATGAGCAGTTTTTTGCCTTATCGCGATTATATAGATACACCGGGGACTTCATTTATATGAAGTGCCTTCATTAGAGATTTAGACTAAAACCACCGTCGGCGACGCTTTTACTCCCGCCAGTTCATTTTGTCAGGTACAAATTATGTAAATGTATAAAATACATACTCGTCATATTGTTTTGATGTCGCATTATCTTAATTTAATGTTCAAGGTTTCATCTTAATGTAAAATTGTATTAAAATTGTTTAGTTTTAATATGCGTTTGTATTACTGTGGTGAGTAACCTTTATTAAACTAAGTTCTGATTTAAAAAAGCCTGAGGTGATTTACAATTCGGCGTGATTTTGTATGTTTAGAACGCTCCTGGATCTGGATGCTTTTGAGGTGCAAATGATTCCGCCGCAGCGACATAATTCTATAGAAACGATTTTGTAACGGTGAATAGTAGTCAGGATAAAAACTGATGTCTATTAAAAAATCTTAACCATTGAAATAAATCATCAATCAATAACATAAAGGAATGTATTAAATCATAACCCTTATAAGTTATACCATTAGTACCTTATATATGAGGGCATACCTTAGCAAAACTTCTGTTCCTTTAAATATTTGTTGCAACCTTTTTACAAAGACATCCCAGTGCAGAATAAAATAGCAATTTTCATATAAAAGTATCATTTGTGAACCTATATCATAGATGTTATTATTTATATAGATGTCAGTAGTTGTTTATATATATTAGATTATCTGGTAAATATATATCTTTAAAATAAGTTTGAACCAAATATAAAAAAAAAACATTTAACCTTTTTTTAAACCAACCAAGTCAGATTTTTGTGACTATAAAACATTAGAACAGTTATATGAGCATTCTTTGATTGGCATACATACTTATAGTCCTAAATAACTGAGCTGCTATAACTAAGTCATTATGGGCCGAAACACCAAACCCCCACCCCCTTTTTTTCCCGCCCCCCCCCCCCCAAACCCCCCCCGCCCCCCCCCCCCCGCCCCCCCCCCCAAAAGGGAAGAAAGGGCGGCCCCCCCCCCCCCCCTTTTTTTTTGGGGGGCCCCCCCCCCCCCCCCCCCCAACCCCCCCCCCCCCTCCCCCTTCCTTCCCCCCCCCCCCCCCCCCCCCCCCCCCAAACCCCCCCAAACCCACCCCCCCCCCCCCCCCCCCCACCGGGGGGGGCCCCCCCCCCCCCCCCCCCCCCCCCCCCCACCCCCCCAAAAAAAAACAACCCCCCCCCACCCCCCCCCCCCCCCCCCCCCCCCCCCCCCCCCCCCCCCCCCCCCCCCCCCCCCCCCCCCCCAAAAAAAAAAAAAAAAAAAAAAAAACACCCCCCCCCCCCCCCCGGCCCGGGGGGGGCCCCCCCCCCCCCCCCCCCCCCCCCCCCCCCCCCCCCCCCCCCCCCCCCCCCCCCCCCCCCCCCCCCCCCCCCCCCCCCCCCCCCCCCCCCCCCCCCCCCCCCCCCCCCGGGCGCCCGGGGGGGCCCCCCCAACCCCCCCCCCCCCCCCCCCCGGGGGGGGGGGGGCCCCCCCCCCCCCCCCCCCCCCCCCAACAAACCCCCCCCCCCCCCCCCCCCCCCCCCCCCCCCCCCCCCCCCCCCCCCCCCCCCCCCCCCCCCCCCCCCCCCCCCCCCCCCCCCCCCCCCCCCCCCCCACCCCCCCCCCCCCCCCCCCCCCCCCCCGGGGGCGGCGGCCCCCCCCCCCCCCCCCCGGGGGCGGGGGGGCGGGGGGGGGGGGGGGGGGGGGGGGCCCCCCCCCCCCCCCCCCCCCCCCCCCCCCCCCCGGGGGGGGCGCCCCCCCCCCCCCCCCCCCCCCCCCCCCCCCCCCCCCCCCCCCCCCCCCCCCCCCCCCCCCCCCCCCCCCCCCCCCCCCCCCCCCCCCCGGGGGGGGTGGCCGGGGGGGGGGGGGGGGCCCCCCCCCCCCCCCCCCCCCCCCCCCCCCCCCCCCCCCCCCCCCCCCCCCCCCCCCCCCCCCCCCCCCCCCCCCCCCCCCCCCCCCCCCCCCCCCCCCCCCCCCCCCCCCCCCCCCCCCCCCCCCCCCCCCCCCCCCCCCCCCCCCCCCCCCCCCCCCCCCCCCCCCCCCCCCCCCCCCCCCCCCCCCCCCCCCCCCCCCCCCCCCCCCCCCCCCCCCCCCCCCCCCCCCCCCCCCCCCCCCCCCCCCCCCCCCCCCCCCCCCCCCCCCCCCCCCCCCCCCCCCCCCCCCCCCCCCCCCCCCCCCCCCCCCCCCCCCCCCCCCCCCCCCCCCCCCCCCCCCCCCCCCTTCCTTTTTTCCCCCCCCCCCCCCCCCCCCCCCCCCCCCCCCCCCCCCCCCCCCCCCCCCCCCCCCCCCCCCCCCCCCCCCCCCCCCCAAAACCCCCACCCCCCCCCCCCCCCCCCCCCCCCCCCCCCCCCCCCCCCCCCCCCCCCCCCCCCCCCCCCCCCCCCCCCCCCCCCCCCCCCCCCCCCCCCCCCCCCCCCCCCCCCCCCCCCCCCCCCCCCCCCCCCCCCCCCCCCCCCCCCCCCCCCCCCCCCCCCCCCCCCCCCCCCCCCCCCCCCCCCCCCCCCCCCCCCCCCCCCCCCCCCCCCCCCCCCCCCCCCCCCCCCCCCCCCCCCCCCCCCCCCCCCCCCCCCCCCCCCCCCCCCCCCCCCCCCCCCCCCCCCCCCCCCCCCCCCCCCCCCCCCCCCCCCCCCCCCCCCCCCCCCCCCCCCCCCCCCCCCCCCCCCCCCCCCCCCCCCCCCCCCCCCCCCCCCCCCCCCCCCCCCCCCCCCCCCCCCCCCCCCCCCCCCCCGCCCCCCCCCCCCCCCCCCCCCCCCCCCCCCCCCCCCCCCCCCCCCCCCCCCCCCCCCCCCCCCCCCCCCCCCCCCCCCCCCCCCCCCCCCCCCCCCCCCCCCCCCCCCCCCCCCCCCCCCCCCCCCCCCCCCCCCCCCCCCCCCCCCCCCCCCCCCCCCCCCCCCCCCCCCCCCCCCCCCCCCCCCCCCCCCCCCCCCCCCCCCCCCCCCCCCCCCCCCCCCCCCCCCCCCCCCCCCCCCCCCCCCCCCCCCCCCCCCCCCCCCCGCCCCCCCCCCCCCCCCCCCCCCCCCCCCCCCCCCCCCCCCCCCCCCCCCCCCCCCCCCCCCCCCCCCCCCCCCCCCCCCCCCCCCCCCCCCCCCCCCCCCCCCCCCCCCCCCCCCCCCCCCCCCCCCCCCCCCCCCCCCCCCCCCCCCCCCCCCCCCCCCCCCCCCCCCCCCCCCCCCCCCCCCCCCCCCCCCCCCCCCCCCCCCCCCCCCCCCCCCCCCCCCCCCCCCCCCCCCCCCCCCCCCCCCCCCCCCCCCCCCCCCCCCCCCCCCCCCCCCCCCCCCCCCCCCCCCCCCCCCCCCCCCCCCCCCCCCCCCCCCCCCCCCCCCCCCCCCCCCCCCCCCCCCCCCCCCCCCCCCCCCCCCCCCCCCCCCCCCCCCCCCCCCCCCCCCCCCCCCCCCCCCCCCCCCCCCCCCCCCCCCCCCCCCCCCCCCCCCCCCCCCCCCCCCCCCCCCCCCCCCCCCCCCCCCCCCCCCCCCCCCCCCCCCCCCCCCCCCCCCCCCCCCCCCCCCCCCCCCCCCCCCCCCCCCCCCCCCCCCCCCCCCCCCCCCCCCCCCCCCCCCCCCCCCCCCCCCCCCCCCCCCCCCCCCCCCCCCCCCCCCCCCCCCCCCCCCCCCCCCCCCCCCCCCCCCCCCCCCCCCCCCCCCCCCCCCCCCCCCCCCCCCCCCCCCCCCCCCCCCCCCCCCCCCCCCCCCCGGCCGGCGCCCCCCCCCCCCCCCCCCCCCCCCCCCCCCCCCCCCCCCCCCCCCCCCCCCCCCCCCCCCCCCCCCCCCCCCCCCCCCCCCCCCCCCCCCCCCCCCCCCCCCCCCCCCCCCCCCCCCCCCCCCCCCCCCCCCCCCCCCCCCCCCCCCCCCCCCCCCCCCCCCCCCCCCCCCCCCCCCCCCCCCCCCCCCCCCCCCCCCCCCCCCCCCCCCCCCCCCCCCCCCCCCCCCCCCCCCCCCCCCCCCCCCCCCCCCCCCCCCCCCCCCCCCCCCCCCCCCCCCCCCCCCCCCCCCCCCCCCCCCCCCCCCCCCCCCCCCCCCCCCCCCCCCCCCCCCCCCCCCCCCCCCCCCCCCCCCCCCCCCCCCCCCCCCCCCCCCCCCCCCCCCCCCCCCCCCCCCCCCCCCCCCCCCCCCCCCCCCCCCCCCCCCCCCCCCCCCCCCCCCCCCCCCCCCCCCCCCCCCCCCCCCCCCCCTTTTTTTCTAAGAGTACCATTAACAAAAACAAAAAAGTACATTTAATACTTTTAATTTAAGATTGGAGGCATAAGTGAATTAAACTATGTTATAATTTAAAATATATCCATAAATTCGAAATGCATAATATTTACTTGTGGGTGGCATAAATATTTCTTTAAAAATTTATTTTCATGTCATTTTATCACAACAATATTAGATTACAGTTGTACTAATTTAAATCACAATTATTATTTCAGAGTTTAATGGAAGTGCTTATATAAAGTACCTACAAATTTTATTTTATTTAAATTTTATTATTTATTTAAATAATTAATCTAAACACAGCTTACAATATTAATTACAAAAACCATTACAATTCCTATAACAACGATTTTACTGAATCATTAAAACATTTCTACTGGACAATACTCAAGTCATACTGCATACATTGTTCCAAAGGTACCAAGACCAAGTAATGGTAAGGTCATATAGCAAGCTATTGTCGGTTTTGGCTATTTATTTCAATTACATTGTGACATAGAGCATTCCCACAGGCATTTCAAGTGCAGTACACACATTAATATTATTGTATGCATCATATTTTTCATGCAATGCAATAGGAAATAGCAATGGATATAACAAAAAAAATATCATATATTTATAAGCTACATTTATATCTTTGAAAAACTTATCTCATAATGAGGAACACTGCTTATGATGAACAATCTAACATGAACAACATTATAAATATTACTACATACAGCCTTCACAAAAGACGATTATATATTTATTTTGAGCTATAATTTAAATTAAGTTAATCCTTTTCAAAAATTTTAGAAAATAAATGCCCAAATTTAAACTATCAGTCAACTATGTAAAGTTAATTTTTGACATAGAGTATGCTTGAAATATTCTTTATTATATTTAAATAAGAGCAATTATTTAGTTATAACAGAAGTGTCAAGTAAATATTTTTTTGTAAAAAAAATTGAAACTAATAATGTATAAAATAATATAAATATTGTAAGCTATAGTTAAAAAGGGTTTTAGTTTAAAGACCATAATCATTATTTACTACATTTTAAGAAACTCATGAAATGTTGTCCATAATTGTAGTTAAAAACATAATTCAGATAATTATCCTAGCAACATTAGCTATCATTAAATAATGCATGATAAGGTTGTTAAGAAACCTAAAGCAGAAGACAATTTTGACATAAAAGGGTGTAAATGTCATTGTATCACTTATATTATCAATTATGAAGAGTTACTGATCATAAAAGATTTTTGAGAAACAGGCTATAAATAAATTTATCTAATGTACCACCCCTATTAATGTATTTACACCCATCTTAAAGAATTAATCATTCTTCTTATCAGTAACTTCAGGTTGTGTTAGGGATAGATTTTGGTTTTGTTGCTGCTCCATTTCGCCAGAAAAACCAAATTCATTAACTCGCTTATGATCAACCTTGTAGATCCAGCGCTGGTACAGGAAAATGAAGAAAACAATATCTGAAAAGATATACAACAAATTATTTTATCTTATCTTCTATGACATTGAGAGGAATCAAGATTATTTTATACATACCATCTCTAAAACATCCCAGACGGTACATTGTTGGCATTTTAATCACAAATGCAAATATATCATCAATAAAAGTATTGAGAAATTTGTATGTCATCATGCGCCATGGTAAATGAGCTACAGAATTTAGCTTGTAATTGATAAACAATTGAGGAGTCATCATAATAAAACCAAAAGTCAACAAATATCCATACATCATGTTTAGAATGAATGAGTACCATCCTTTATGCTCCAGATATAAAAGTGAGTAAATACCATATCCAATCAGCAGAGGAAAACAAGCCCAGCTTAAATATCTAAAGGCTAACATATCATATTGTTTTGTGCTTGATTCTACATAAGAACCCTTATCTGTGAAAGATATTTTGGGGAATCCAAATATTCTATCTTCCCTATTCAATTTCACATCCATAACTTTATTAATTTTCCAGATTTCAATCATTAAGCCAATAAAGCAAGAAATTCTAACCATAACATTAGTTTCATTATCTAGTACATAGAGCAATACAACTGTTGACTGAAAAACATTGAAGAAAACTGATCGCACAGAGAGTCCTTCCAAGGACTGTCTGTTGTTCCAAAACTGAATGTCATTCTTAAATGCTAAAAGTTCAAAAATTGAATGGAGGATAGAGACAGATATAGTTAATCCCAATAAATAAGGAGATGTATCCAAAAGCAATTCTTTCACAGTATCCTGTTCTTCATCTTGCTCCTCTGCACCAAGAGCTGAAAACATGCTCAATTTGTCTCTCATAACTTGTGCTGTGTATAACTGCCATTTGAAAAGACTCAATGGTTGAAATGTTAGTTGTAGATCAAGGCTAGTAACACTATTGTTGAGAGGTACATAGTCACGCATCATATTCCAGTAATCATTTAAGAACACAGCAGGTTTATACTCCTTACCATCAGGCAAAAAATATATAAATTCATCAAGTGGTGGCGGAACACTGCCTTGCATCCAATTTGTTTGATCTGTTACTAAATTAATAGTCAAATTAGGATGCCAATGAGACACTATCTCTTCTTTCATTGTTTCAGCTTTTTTTAATTCCTCCTCAGACTTTTCACTTTGTCCGGTCAAAAGGTTATGTGTTTTTAGATATTTTAACTTTTTGTATTTATTAACCATTTTTTTACCATATGTAACATATGGTCCTGCATAATTATTTTTATCTTTAGGATTTGGTGACTTTCCATTTGGGACTACATAAACATGAATATAAATGGAACCATTATTCTTTAAAGACTCTGAAGGCACAATACTAGTGGAATGGGTATAAGTTCCATCATTATTGGGTCCACCAAACCAGTCACCATATACAAGATTTGTTTCTTTCCAGATCAATTGACCATGTTCAAGATTATCTAGAAATTCACGCTCTGATATATATGCAAACATATCCACAACTGTTCCATTTTGAAACATGTTAACGGCTGGTACTCGAGGTACACCAGATGAGCTATTAACGTCAGTTTTTGGTGCAGAAGGTTGCCGAAACATTGATGTAATAAAATAAACTACTAACGCTCTTATGATAAGTGATTTCGTTATAGCAAAAAATGATTCCATTTTTGACGGCTGCATCCTTTGACGTTGTTCATCAATTTGAGCATTGATCTGAAAATTTAGGTTAAGGTTGTAGATTTGCATATAATGAGAATGTGTCCTGGAAAAATATATTAAGGTATCCGAAAGTATATCACACCTTTTCGTCTACATGAAGAGTAGAATGAAATAGGTATACAAATTATGGTACTTATGAATTATATTACTTACGTCCACATTTTGGTTTTCTACAACAGATGTTTCTTCATTGGATTCACTTGGCACTAACTTATCAGTTTCACCAGAAGAATCATCTTCTGTTAAATTTGCCATGGTTTCACAAGACAAATTTATTATTATTGATTGTAAAATATCTAAATGTTAAAATGGTCCTCTACTGACGAGACTCAGGAGTCAGGTCTCAGATTACAGATATCACTTGACTTGAGAGTCCTTCTATAAGTAGTACGAAAAAGCATATTATATTAGTCTTTGGAATCTCTCTCTATGAGTCATTCCCTATATCAATATATAATGCACTCTATGGTGATGACCCTATGGTCATGTAATTAAATAGTAAACGAAAAATGATAAAATATGCTATATTTAGATGATGACTTATGGTAAGATTTAGAAACGAAACTTAGCGCTAAGTCGGAAAATGCATTGGGAAAACGGGTCTAGTTTCTGAGTTCCACCCTAAAGGAAAGTCCAGTCGCGATATACAGTATATTGAAAGCTAGATTTGACATAAATCATACATCTAAAAGACATACTTGTAGTATGCTACAAGTCAAAAGTACTTACTACTATAAAAAATGCTGGGGGTCTAGCTGTAATACCTATATTAGGTTTGTAAATGTAACATTAGGTATACATTTAATCCAGAGACAATATGATGGAATTAGGCTACGAACAGCAGCTCGGAGCTACGCTGTCGACTTTACGGTCGTGTCTCGAGTAACATGTCTCTTGGCTGCGAACCAAGCGTTTTCGACAATACGATTACGCAGAAGCGGTAGCGTATGTAGAATTCTTATCGGTACTAATATTCAATCCCCCTCAATTTGAATTCGGATTTTGAGTTAATATCATCGAATAAGTCTAGTTTTTATTAGTGATTTGCTACTACATAGTTTAAATTGTCTCTGTTTATGTATACCCATAAATCCAATTTTAGTTTAACTTAAGTAGCCATTTATAAATGTTGCTTAAACCCTATTTCTACTTTTAAAGTGAGAATTGTAAAACAGCAACTACCGAATGAAATGAAAAAAAGGGATTAATAAGGATTATAAAATAGAAACCTAGTCTAGTATGAATTAATACCCTTAATTAACTTTTAATTCGATATTGTTGCTCCAACATCTTAAATTTAAGTTTGATGCTGATTTGAAGTTAATAATTACATTAATTAACTTTTGTTTATATCAGTGATTTACTACTACCTAGTTAATAAGTGAATGCAAACCCTGTTTAAGTAAGAATGAATAAAAATTGTATTTTAATTTATGTATTTGATAGTTTTATTTTTGGTAATTGCACTTATTGACCTATGTCTTGTTTGTGAGGAAAAGCCATTGAAGAGGTTCATATTACTTTCTTACCTGTAGCAATATTGTGGTGAAATAAAAGAAAAATGTACACCTATTGAATATATAAATGACTTGTACCTACTAATACTTAGGAATAGTAAACATACAGGTAGATGTATTCATATTTATATATATAGTTAATTATAATTAACTAATAAATGTAAGTGTTAATGGGCAGCAATAAAACTCAATATCTTGTTTGTGTGCTGTTCTATACAAAAAATTGTTCAATTCATAAAACCTAAAGTTAGATATTGTGATGATTTCATAAAATTGTTTAGTTTAGTTCCTATGATAAGATACATCCTGGGCCATTAAAAAATGGTGATGGATTCCTTAACACAACGATTGTAAATAATAACAGTTATTGTAAAGATATAATTCCTCCCAAAATTTTCAAATACAGTTTGTTTATAATAAATATCTCATTCACATTCAAACTGCTGAACTTACTAAGATTAAATACTGATTCCTATTCTTGAGGTAATGTTTATTGTATCCCGACTCACGCCTTTAGGGCCTACGCTACCGACTGTCGACACGAGCTGTCATCTTCATACAAATTTAGTTTTCGAGTTTCTACAATCTACTAGGCCGGCTCCAACGTTGGCCCCAATATTGGCCCCAACGCTATTCGTCCAACGTGTGGATCTAGAAAATGGCATTGGTCCCAACGTTGGGGCGAGTGTTGGTAGTTGGCCGGCCTCGTGTCGGTTTCATCAAAGGAATCTGCGCCAACGCTCGCGATCTGTCCACACGTTGGCGGCTGGCGCTTTGCTTAGTTCCCTGGGCGGCCGGCGCCGCTCTTCTTTACAGCACGCAGCGAGTGCGTACGTCACGAGAATGCTTCCCATCCAAAAATTCACGCATAAACAAATGAAAAGTAAGAATTTATTGAATTTATCAAGCACATCCAATAATATGGGAGCAACTCGAAAGGATCATAAAAATAAAAATTTAATAGCTGATCATGGCGCACATTCAAAAAATATGGGAATGAATTTCTCAATTGAAGATTTAAAAAAAAGGAGAATGTTAATGAGAATATCTTTACAGAAAGAAAATTAGTGATCTACTATTGATATAAAGACAAGTTCGATTTCTGTATGGACATCTTCACATTGGCCCTGACGGGACAGAATAGTTTATTACCAATGTGTACGCCTAGTTTGAGTCAGTTGTAGATGTTGGGACCCACATGTGGAGCCGGCGTTACACTACTGTTAAGCCATCTTGGCTAGACCCCATGGTTGTCTTCTGTCAACAAATTTACAAATTGTCAATTCCATACAAGTTTTAAGCTACATTAGTACATTTAGTTAATTAATATAAAATATTATAGATTGAAATGCGATTTATTGCGATATTTGGCAAAATTTTCATAGCAGTTTAGCTAATTTTGTATTAGTCTTGTTGGCAATACTAAGAGAATATGAAAATGGGGGGTCTAGTTGCTCGTTCGTAATTATTATCATTTTGCTATAATATTTTTCAGCCGAGAAAACGAGTAATAATTTATAAGATAAAGAGTAAAATAAAGTTGATTTTAACCTAGCCGCAAAACAAATATTTCGTCCAAAACAGTTTTAATACGTAATAAAAAAGTTTACCTAGATATTCCTTGGAAATTTGAATATTATGTTATAAGTGGTTTAAACCTACCTTACATAGATGACCATGAGTATAATAAAAACAGGAAATAATAACACCCGTTATAGGAAAAAGTATAAATACATGAAAATGAAAGTAAAAAGCTTAATCATTGTAAGTATTAATTATAGCACGATATGTAATCCCTATTTTTACGTCTTTAATTGAATTATATATGACCTAATTCACATGTACATCTTATTACTTATCACTACTACAATAGTAATCTAACAATTAATTTGATTTGTTTCCTGATTACAACAGGTCTAACTAGATGTTTTACTGTTTATCTAGGAAAATGCAGCATTATGTGATGAAGTTGCTAGAGTACAAGAAAATATTCAAATAGTAAAAGATGAAAGAAAATTCTTATTATGCAAATTGCTTGAACATGAAAATGACACTGATAGTGCACAGGTATATTATAGAACTGATGTCACATCAATTTCTAATGGAGCCAAAACAAAACCTAAAAAGAGAAAAAGTCAGGAAGACTCTGGAAAAACATAAATTATTTAAAAAAATTAGTTGTCAATAAAGCATGAATTTTAGAGACAAATTGCCTTAGTTTTATTTATAGAAAATTTATTTTAAGTTTAAAAATACTATCTTCATAACAAATATAGACCATGTCAAACTTTGAGGTGTGATATTAAAAATTAGTATTAGTAGAAACATAGTTGCTACTCAGAATAACACTTGGTAACCAAACCATAAATTGAAATATACCCTACCTTATCTATTTAGCCAACTTTATAAGCAAAAGATAAAGGTTACCAGATTTGTTGACCATTGTGTGTTTGTATACAAAAGATAAGATGAGAAAGATCTTTGTCTTTGTTGCCAGTTGCAATATCTGCATAAGACTTATGGGAATTTGAGATAAATTAAAAACAGTATACTCAAACATTACATCCGAGGTTGTTATAGTCTTATACATGTTGTACCATTTTTGTACAACATCCCCTTGGTTACAACAACTATTTAACTATAGCTATGGTCCCTTGAATTTAAAACATACATAAGTACAAAATTCATGACCTTTGGTAATAATAAAAATCAACAATAATATTTTTAAAACATTTTTTACATGGCCAAAACAAAGTCTTAACCCATAATATAAAGGCACCTTGCCTTAAAAATTTAATCACCTTCCTATTGAAAGCATTACACTGCAGATCTGTAACTTCTGGGAAGGTGATTCAACTGTTTGATAGCCATAGCATAGCAATTTTTAAATACATTGTGTTGCAACATGCAAGCACCCACAGCCATGTTGGATCCCTCGTACAGGAATTTAAATGTTTTGAATAATTTCAGTTACTTTTTTACAGTCATTACTGCTTCTAGGATATATTATATAAACTTGGTACAGTCAAAATACTGTATAATTGTGTGGAAATTTTGAACACCATATCAGTAAGTGCTGCTATAATGTCAAGCTATAATACAATAAGATTCTATATTCTAATTTAATTAAACAACAGTAAAAACACACATCACAAGCTTATTTTATTTAGTCATCATCATCTTCATTAGCAAATGATAATAATTGTATTTTACTTTTGTGCTTTTTTATTTCTATTGATGACTTTTTTTTCATTTTTTCGTCTTTCTTTTTTTTAGTTTTAAATATAACCCTTTCATTTAAATCAGCTTTTGTTTCACTTTCAATTTTTTGTAACTTTTCTTTTTCCAACTCTGCTTCTTCAGCTGTCAGGTCTCCTTGTTTCAAAACAACAACTTGGGGTAATTCACTATCCTCATCACTTACAAAGTCTTCTTCATTTCTTTCAAGTGGATCAAACTTATGGTTAGTGTCGTCATAACCAGCTTGTTTTTTTAATACTTTTAAGAAAGGTGGATCATCGGGTTTAATAAAATTAACATTTCGTTTCCTGTTCATGTTTAATTAATTACTTGTACATATTATAATGGTTTTGTAAATATAGTACGTTATTTTATTTGTGGCACAAATGGAAAAAACCATTATAAATCAGAAAAAATATACTAACACTCAACGAAAAGTTGTGGTCTTTTTCGATAAACAATAACTTTAGACTACGAACTACGAAGTATGAATCATGTAATTAAATTATTAAAATAATTTACAGGAGCAACGCCAGTCTCCAAGTCCAAAATCACACATTTGACATTACATGATTACAATGCATTGACATTTTGAATATGACAATTGACATACAGCTGTCAATCTTAAGGAAAAGTTTTAGTTTTATCCAGGGGACGATGGCGTTCCATATTCCTTCCTGGCTAAACTAAATGACAAAGCTAAACTTTACTACCTAAAAATAATCAATAAATGTTTTGAAACTGGTATTATACCGACATGTTGGACATCTCAAATAGTCATTCCCATTCTCAAACCTGGAAAAAACTTTCAGATTCAAATTCATATCGACCCATAGCATTGTCATCTACTTTAGCTAAAGTAACAGAACACCTTCTTAAAAACCGACTGGAATGGTTAATGACAAGTAAAAATATTCGCCCCTCCTCCCAATTTGGGTTCCGAAAGGGTATGAGGACCACAGACAGCCTCAGTATACTAACAACAGACATTCGCCTAGCCTTTACAAAAGGAGAGTACCTTGTGGGTGTGTATCTTGATATTGTTTCTGCATACGATAATGTCTTACTTCCGGCGCTCAGGCAGAAACTGCGTAATCTGAATGTACCTTCGAGGATGGTACATCTCATATGTAATTTGCTACTTTGCAGATCAATTCTGATAAAGCATCAGAATACCTCACTTCCCCCAGACTAGTCTGGAAAGGTCTCCCTCAAGGCTCAGTTCTCAGCCCTCTGCTCTATACCATTTATACCCATGACCTCGAACTGTTTGTTACCAGTTTTCGTAACATTTTACAATATGCTCAGGCAGTATAGGGGAAATATCCTGTCGTATCAATTCTGCTTTGTATTATTTAGGCCAGTGGTTGTCTGAACACGGCTTGTCCCTGTCAGTGGGCAAATCTCAGGCAGTGGTGTTTACAAGGAAGAGATACATTCCCACTCCCACATTCCACTCATTTCATTTGAAAATCAAACAATCAACCTGACAGATAAAGTAAAAATTTTAGGTATTTATTTAGACAACCGGCTGAACGGAATTGCCCATTCTGAACAGATTATCAAAAAATGTGAAAAAGGTATTAACATACTGAGAGCTCTTCTCTTCCTCCAGCTAGTTTTCACGATTTTTTTTGCGCACTTTAAATAAATGATCATATGAGCTAAGTTAAAATAATGCCGAAGCCGCGATCACCTCGGTATCCATTTTTGATAGACATCACAACGGTAGACAGTCAGTAAATTAATGGTTTTCAAAAAACAAATATACGAGTAAATATGTAGCTATAAAAAAAATTGAATGTGGAATTCCTAACCAAGGAGTAGTAGATATTTGAGGTCAAAGTGGCCAGTACGACAAAACGTCAATTTCATATCTAAGGGTATGTCCCCATCTAGCGAATGTGCCGCGAGCCGTTTGCGAGCTGCGCGCGTGCAGTCACGCCAATGGTTTGGTGCGCCTCTTAAGCGTAACTCATGCAAGGCTTGTATAAGGCGAGCGTGCGGCGCGCGATCTCTGCGCACTCAATTCTCGCGCGCCGCCCGCGTGCTGATCGCGTACGGCGCTTAGGTTGCGTGCGAACTGCGCGGGGACGGCGTAGGAGCGGCGGACGAACAAAAATGCACGCGCGCTTCACATCCGCCAGATGTGGACGCACCTTTAGGACTTAATATTTATATTATAAAGAAACGAGCTGACCTGGCAAATGTTGTTTTGCCATTTATATTATTTCTAGGAAACATTTTTTTCGTTCAATAAAAACAACTATATTCTAATAATCTACTATAATAAAAAATAGGGGTTCATTGTAGAGGTGGGACCACCTTCAACATTTAGGAGGATGAAAAATACATGTTGTCCGATTCTCAGACTTACTGAATATGCATAAAAAAAATTATAAGAATTAGTCGAGCCGTTTCGGAGGAGTATGGGAACGAAAATTGAGATACGAGAATTTTATATATTAGACTAGCTGCCCCCGCGAACGTTCGTTTCTCCTTAATGTGATTTTACTTAGCCTACCATTTTAGTAGATACCAACATGGATCATTTTGCTTTGTTACCCCAGAGACTGTTCGGTTTTCTGGAATGAAAACTTTTTAGGTTTTTCTATGAATTTTCTCTATACAAACCTCAGAGTTCAATTCATGAGATTTTAATTAACAAATAAAAAATAGAGGGGTGAAATTAAGGGTGGTATGTATTTTTGTATGCTGTATAATAAAAAAATAAAAATTTTAACTAAAAATATAACAACATTAGTTTTAAAGTTTATTAATTACCTACGTGAAGATACAAATTGAAAAATGTAAGAATAATTTTTCGCTTTGGTAGTACTTGAATTAACATTAAAATTGATGACTGCTACTCTTTGATCTCCCGCAGCTATTAATTTTTTTGCATCAAACTCTAAACTGTAAATTGGTGTGGACCTCTTTTGTGTAAAATACATCTGAAACAAAAAGAATCTGTTAATAACATATATAAGCTTAAGCTCTGTTAAATATAAGCTTGATGAGTGATCATTGCATTCATATGCTCATCAAAAGATCAATAATTTTGTTTAGTGTTCTATTACTTAATATAACACTTTTTTATATATACAAATACAAAATGTATTTGTATATATAAAAAACGCGTACATCGAATACAAATATATTTAAGCGAGTTACGTAACCTAACATTACTTAAGATACAGCTTAGAAAAATACATACAACCCTTAATTTTCATCTACCCACTACGATCAACCCCTACTTTTAATTTGTTAGTTAAGAACTTATAACTAGAACTCTGAGGTTTATAAAGAGAAAAATCACAGAAAAACCTAAAAAGTTTTCATTCCAGAGACTGTAAGTATGTACTAAAAAGGTAGGCTAAGTAAAATCACATTAAGGAGAAACGAAGTTCGCGGGGACAGCTAGTAATATACAATAGTTAATAATTAGAAGCGCAAACAAAATGTTAGCATTCATCGCTCACTTGAAGCCTTAACTAAACCCTTAAATAAGTGAAGTTAGTTTTTTGTTAATCCAGATTCGCAACCCCTAATTTTATGTTAGTTATCAGCTCATGTTTTAAAGGCAGGTGACAATCAGCTTCAAACAAAGAGTTTCATTTAACATATATTTGAACATCCCTATAACAACCGCCACCGAACTTAACAAATATTTTTTTTAGAGAATATGAGATTTATATTGTGTTGTATTATATGCACTTGTTATGTATGCATACACCTTGGAATCTTTTAATGCCTCAACCTTTTAGTCCAGTCAATCTAGACATTCGAAGATGCAGAATTAAATTACAAGCTGAAAATCAGTAAAATTGTTCAAAACATATTTTTTATTTATAAAATTACTTTAATAATTAATTCATTAATTAATAATTTTACTGATTTTTGGCTTGTTGTGATTTTATGCACATTCACTCTAATTTTTTGGTCTATATCATATGATCATTAATAACAACAATACCTGTACATGATGAGTTGAACGCATATCATAAAGCACACAACGGGAATATTCTGAAGAGCCGGTGACAACAGCTTTATCGCCGTCTGATTTTAGGCAATAGAGAGATGAATCAAATGGATCTCTAGTTTCATAAGTCTGAAATCAATATTCATGTAAAATATATAAGTATTTTTTTATAAGAAGCAGAACGATAGATAAATATATGAAAAAATAATAAAAGCCGTGTGATGCCGGCTTTTAGAATAGAGCCTCCCCATCTCTACCCGTGGATGTCGTGAAAGGCGACTAAGGCTATTAAGGCGTAGGGAAGTGACTGGTCGGGACCGGTCACAAAGTCTACACGAATACCAGATCGAGCTTAGCGTAACCTTCGCTATTAGATCTCATGTCGACTTCTACGAGGATACTGCGCATGCTCCACTTGCGTCCTTCAACCGTTGCCTGGTCTGGCATGCCGTCGAGTCTGCCGTCAAATCGGCTAATTGGGATGACTTGCATAATTTCTTTGCAGCATACCCATGGTCACAAGTCTGCTTTAAGGACAGTAATCTTATCCTATGCTAAGTCTATCCGTGATGTGGTGCTACAAACAATGGAACTCTCTATCTCTTACTATGTGGTTCCTTGGTCTTTCTTGCAAAGATGCTTCCCGTTTTATGCAAGAGCTATATAAGACCTGAGCTCACGTAACGTCCATAAAAGATCCCGATATAGGTCTTCATAAAATAAAACTTTACGCGGCATCCCGAAGCCTTAAAGCGAGAAATTGTGAGAGCAAAATCGGAACATATCGTCAGAATTAGTGAGAATCTCGCGAATATGCCTTCTAAAAGCCTATTGGTCATTAGCAAAAGCAAAATGGTGTGCGGAAGGTCTTATTTTCCATTGATACCCACAAGACATGTGCTTATGAGTTGACTCCGGTGCTTACACGGCCTCTTGGACTATCGTTTTCCTCGACAATCGTTCCAAAAAAGACGACCGTCTCCAGCTATAGACCTATCGCAATCACTTTTTTATTATCCAGGCTGATGGAATCTATCACCAATAATCAGCTTCTACTATGTCTGGAGGGGAAACCAGCTAATTAGTGAAGGTCAGTATGGCTTACGCCGAGATCGTCTGTTGACCGAACTAGCTTTTGATAGAGTTTGGCACTAGCACTTCTCACACACTTATATATGTGTTAAGCGTTTAAATTTTATCATTTGAATACCAGAAGGTACCTAAATTATTTTGGCCACATTATAAATAACCCTATACTACCTTATCCAATTAAAGTATGAATAGTAATAAAAAATATCGCGCAAAGTTCTATATGTTTTATCTTTTACCACTCAAAAGTAAATACATATTATTCTTACCAAGCCACCTGTCCTTACGTCAATGTATTGCAACTTTCCAGAATGTGTCACATATACAACACCAGATTCATTGTGCCACTTTATATCTCTGACAACATGATTCAAAGTCCTTGTTCCTGACTTTGGGGCTATTAAATATTGACCACTAAAAATATTTATATATTAATATAAATTACCATATTTGAAATCATGTTTGAAAAACAAAAAAAGGCTATTTATAAGAATGGATTAATGCAACGCTTTTTAGTTACCTACGTATTGAGATCTATGAATACAGGCATAATATTTCCATTCAGACCAACAGCCATTTTTGTTTCTGTTGAATCGGTTGTTAATGATCGACATCCAATACATTCAGGAATCTTAAGCTTTTTAAAAATCACATCTGAAAAATATGATAGTTTAGAAATATATAGAAATATATGTTTTCTAAATTATATTAATAGTAGAACCTTTTATGAATTGTTGAGTAAACAACATTTACTGGTATGCACGGTGCTTTAACAATTTTATGAAATTTTTGTGATAAATTACAAAAGTCATTCATAATGCACCACTCTACCCTTAAGTCTCAAAAACACAGAAAAAGTTGTGAAAAAATTTTCACCCTCAGAAAGAGAATCCTTTATAGCAAAAGTGTTGGTTACACTTATTAGCAAGAAAAGCTAATCAAAACATGTCTTTTGTTTTTTAGAACTTGAAACAAAAACATTCATGTGAACCCCTGCTGAGAATACCTATTTTTGCACATACTGAATGTTTTAAATTCATTAATTATATAACATATTAGTAATTATTATGTGGTCATAGTTTGTAAAATCTTTTTACTAATTTATTAAACTGAATATTATTTAATTATACTAGCGGTCCCGACAGACATTGTCCTGCATGATATATCAAGTGATTAGGATATTAAACAAAGTATGCCAGTACCGACTTCAGCGCCATCTGCCGCGCTTATTTGTGAATCTAAACCATCCAGGGCTACACAATAACGCAACGTTTAAAGAGAGTTCAGTGACATACATACTTACAGTAGAATAATATATATATGTAGGCTATCCTATCTTTTAAGTTAGATCAAACTGCAAACAGTGTGCAAATTTGATTGAAATTGGTAAAGTAGTTAGCGGACAAACAACGTGACGCGTAATTTATATATATTAAGACTAGCCGTTTCCCACCCGCTTCGCTGGGCGAATTAAAATAGGAAATAAATAAAATTTTATGTTTCATTATTATTATTTTTTTCATATTTTTATTATTCTTCCTTTTAAGTTCTTCTAGGAAGCCTCCCCGAATGTTTCCGCGGTGAAGTCCGTATGTATAAATTTTCATAAAAGTAAAACAGCAATAAAAAATGAAGGAAGCTTGGAATTTACAATATAAATAGCCATAAACCATCTAGGAAAAATTTCGCATGGAATGGCAGTAGTTTCATGTCGATACGATCAGTGGTTTAGGCGTGAAGGAGCCTCAAACGAAGACCATTTTTCTATATATATATATATATAGATATATAGATTTATCCCTTACATCAATGAATAAATCAAGTTCTTACTTTCATTTGGAGAGGTGTCACTACAACCAATGTTACGCATCCTCCAGAAATGTAAATCAGGACTGATATATGAAGCTGTGACAATGCAGTTTTTCCATTTTTCAACTGCTGTTACCTCTTCTAGCCCAAAGTTATGACAATTTTGTATGTAATTTAGTAAAACAGGTTTTATTTTTATATCATGGAATTCATACATAGCACAACTGCCATCTCTGCAAATATAAAAATCTGTGGTTGACAAAATATTTTGTACTTAAATACAAGTATTAATAAACTGATATAAATTGAGTAACTTTTATTTACACACTGCAAAACTATAGCAACAAATTAAGCATTTTTATTCAAACACAAAATGTGTCAATATGCATTTAATTATTAAGTTTACACTAACCTGACTTTTAAGAGTTTTGCTCTCTATTAATAATTTTCATCATTTTGAAACCTTAATTAAACAATTGTGTAATAGTGTAAGTTACAGTAGTATATTTATGCTATAAATATCATACCTATTTCCACATACAATCATATTGTCCTTCACTATGAACCTTGAAATATCATTTGTACGAACATCAAACCTTTCCATAGTTGGTACAGTTAATTTCCATAATAATTTTCTGTTGAAACCACTGTGCTCAAGTAAAAAGCATACAAGATCAGAACCAAAAGATACCAAAAGAATATTTGGAGATAACAGTTGCATCCAAGGCATATAATTAATTTTATGTTGAATAATAACCTAAAATAATTTAGTTATTTTAACTTCTTGCCATATTTTGAAGTTTGGATCATAAGTAAAAAAATAATAATAGTTACTTTAAGTAAATTTAATTTTACTAAAAAGAAAAGGAAAATATTTTTTACCACTAAAATGGAGTTTCAATTATAAAAACAATAAGTTTATTCTAAAAACATTTACTTTACTCTTGAATATTCCTTTGCACCAATTATATGATATTCTACACCTATGGTACCAGCTTAAGGTGGGTCTGGAAAAAGAATTTCATAAGTTGTAAGGGTATCATGGAATTGAAATCATAATATGGCTATTTAAATGCACACACATCTTTAAAACTAACATGCAAATTTAGTAATTTTTGAAAACAAAATTTCAATAATTTGGTTTATAACTAGACCAACTGGTATCAATTGAATCCTCTTTTTACAATTGATAAGATATTTTACGTTATGCAATTTAAATAAAGTATGCTATTTTTGCTCATCAAGCTGAAGCATGCAGAAGTAATTACTTTCATAAGGGAAAAATGCAATAGATGCAAAAATTATAAGTAAGTTCTGCAATGAATATGAATGTACTTAGAATGATATTAAAGCGTTTACATAACACTTACATGTTTCTACTTATTATGAGTCTATCTTGGCTTATTAATTTCCATAAATAAGATTCATTAATTATAAATGCTTTTATGTATTTTGAAGTTAATATTAAATTTCCTATGTCCGATAGGTTAAGGCGTTTCACAATATTTAACAATATTTCTGGAGGAAGTTTTTCTAAACTTAATTCACTCATTTTGCTAAAATATATTTATTATGTATTATTTATTTTAATCAAGGTTTTCGATGATAAGTTTTATGGAAAAAAATATATGAATTATGTATTACAATTTACAAACCAAACATCAATATATATATATATATAACCAAGTATTTAATCTGTAATTTTCGCTATAAGTAATAACTAATAGTGTTCTGTGGTAATTTTAGATAATGTGTCTACCCACTGAGCTACAGATTAAAGAAAAACTTTCGATCGATTTCATAAAAAAAAAAACAGTCTGTGGGCTTCGTCGTCGCCGAAAACGACGAAAACAACGGGCTTGTGTATGGAAGTGCTTTTGACCGATTGCGCCGCATTTAATAAAATCCTTGGTAAGCTAAGATTAAAGTTAATAGGCATGCTTTGAATTTAAGTTGTCTATTTTTCTGATTAACCAAGTTAAATTTTTACAAAATGTTACCGTATAGTTTATGTATGAAGAGTGGATACCTATTGTAATTTTATGAGAAATGTCATTTTGATACTACGGGCTACGGGTGTGTTCTGTAAAATTCTATCCTCACAAAATGAAACGATGTCTTGCGTAAAATAACTCTGTAACCTTTATGTAGAATGTGTGTTTTACAAAAAGCATCTAAAACGCAATGAAGTTCTATTTGTTATTTACATGGGCAATATAGGTTATGATATTATGTTCAAGCTTTCTAATTGTTCATTTATTTCTTTCAGTGGGGAATGAATGTGAACGAAACATTTATGCCGAATTAATTAAAGCGCCAAAAAGTTTATAATTTTGAGTTACATATATATTGGCAGAATGGCTACTTTAGAACAACAAGCTTCCAAGCTCTTGGATTTTAATCAAAAGTTAGATATAAACCTTCTTGATAACATAGTCGGATGCTTATATTCTACAGTCGGTGATCAGCAGCGTGTTGCTCAAGATATTCTGACAGCATTAAAAGAACATCCTGATGCTTGGACTCGTGTAGACACCATATTAGAGTTCTCTCAAAATCAGGAAACTAAATACTATGCCTTACAAATATTGGAAAAAGTTATACAAACAAAATGGAAGATATTACCAAGAAACCAATGTGAAGGTATTAAAAAGTATATTGTGGGCCTTATTATAAAGAATTCATCTGATCCAGCTATTATGGAAAATAATAAAGTATACTTAAAAAAACTAAATATGATTTTAATTCAAGTATTAAAAAGAGAGTGGCCACACAACTGGGAAACTTTTATTAGTGACATAGTTGGAGCATCGAAAACCAATGAGAGTCTCTGTCAAAACAACATGGTCATTCTAAAATTGCTAAGTGAAGAAGTGTTTGTTTTTAGTACAGGGCAACTGACACAAACTAAAGCTAAACATTTAAAGGATACCATGTGTTCCGAATTCAGTCAAATTTTTCAGTTATGCCAGTTTGTTCTTGAGAACTCACAAAATGCTCCATTGGTTGATGCAACATTACACACACTTTTAAGATTTTTGAACTGGATTCCATTGGGATACATTTTTGAAATGAAACTTATTAGTACACTCATTTTTAAATTTTTAAATGTGCCTATGTTCCGTAATGTAACATTAAGTTGTTTAACTGAAATTGCTGGAGTTACTGTAAGTAATTATGAAGAACAATTTGTTGCATTGCTTGTGCAAACTATGGAGCAGTTAGAGATTATGCTCCCTCTTACTACAAATATAAGAGAAGCCTATGCTGCAGGTCGAGATCAGGAACAAGTGTTCATTCAGAATCTGGCTTTATTTCTTTGTACTTATTTAAAAGAACATGGCCAGTTAATTGAGAGACGTGGTCTAACCAACACCTTAATGAATGCATTGCGTTATTTAGTTTTGATATCAGAAGTTGAAGAAGTTGAAATATTTAAGATCTGTTTAGAATTTTGGAATGCCTTGGCTGCTGATTTATATAAAATTGCTCCTTGTTCTCACTCTGCTGGCCTTAGCTACATTCAAGGCAAGAGTTTGGGAAGAAAAGTATTGTATGCAGATGTACTAAGCAATGTACGTTACATTATGATTTCTAGAATGGCAAAACCCGAAGAGGTACTAGTGGTGGAAAATGAAAATGGAGAAGTTGTGAGAGAGTTTATGAAAGATACTGATTCAATTAGTCTATATAAAAATATGAGAGAAACTTTAGTATATTTAACACACTTGGACTATGCAGATACAGAACGTATAATGACAGATAAGCTGCAAAATCAAGTCAATGGAACTGAGTGGTCCTGGAAAAATTTAAACACATTGTGTTGGGCTATAGGCTCTATATCTGGAGCTATGATGGAAGAAGATGAGAAAAGATTTCTTGTTATTGTGATTAAAGATTTATTGGGATTGTGTGAACAAAAAAAAGGCAAGGACAACAAAGCAATTATTGCAAGCAACATTATGTATGTTGTGGGACAGTACCCTCGCTTCCTACGAGCCCACTGGAAATTTTTGAAAACCGTTGTCAATAAATTATTTGAGTTCATGCATGAAACTCATGATGGTGTCCAAGATATGGCATGTGATACTTTTATTAAAATAGCATTAAAATGTCGACGCCATTTTGTTACCATTCAGGTAGGTGAGGCATGTCCGTTTATTGAAGAAATATTAAGTACAATCAGTTCAATTATTTGTGATTTGCAAACACTTCAAGTTCACACATTTTATGAAGCTGTTGGCTATATGATAAGTGCACAAGTAGACCAAGTTGCCCAAGAACAACTGATTGAAAAGTACATGTTGCTGCCAAATCAGGTGTGGGATGACATTATATCACAGGCTTCCCATAATGTGGACATTCTTAAGGATCCTGAAGCTGTGAAACAGCTTGTGAGCATTTTAAAAACGAACGTAAGTGCCTGTCGTGCATTAGGACACCCCTATGTGGTGCAACTTGGAAGAATATATCTGGACATGTTGAATGTGTATAAAGTCATGTCTGAAAATATCAGCCAAGCTATTGCTCTCAATAGTGTTGCTGTCACCAAACAACCATTAATCAAGAACATGAGGATAATCAAAAAAGAAACTTTGAAGCTGATATCAAGTTGGGTGACACGATCAACTGATAACAGTATGGTTTTGGAAAACTTCATACCTCCACTCTTAGACGCTGTCTTGCTTGATTATCAAAGAACAGCAGTCCCTGATGCTCGAGAGACTGAAGTGTTGTCCTGCATGGCGGCTATAGTGAACAAGCTTGGTGGTCATATAACATCTGAAGTACCCAAAATTTTTGATGCAGTTTTTGAATGCACTCTCGACATGATAAATAAAGACTTTGAAGAATATCCTGAGCACAGAACTGAATTTTTCCTGTTATTGCAGGCTGTTAACACTTACTGTTTCAAAGCATTCCTTAGTATACCACCAGCACAGTTCAAATTGGTGTTGGATTCCATAATCTGGGCATTTAAACATACTATGAGGAATGTCGCAGATACAGGTCTGCAGATTATGTACCGATTATTACAAAATGTTGAGCAGCATCCCCAGGCAGCACAGAGTTTCTACCAGACCTATTTGTGTGACATTTTAGAGCATGTTTTCAGTGTTGTTACTGATTCATCTCATGGAGCGGGACTTACCATGCATGCCACTATATTAGCCCACATATTTTCACTAGTAGAAACGGGACGTGTCACAACTGCTCTTGGAAACGCAGATAATAATGTAACTTATATTCAGGTATGGTTTATTTTTCCATTTATTTTTTAGGGACTGAAAACTATTTCATTTAGGAAACACCAATATAATCATTACGCTGTTTAAGTATTTAAACATGATATAATATTTATGATCATATTAATGATGGCAAAACAAGCAATGAAAATAACTTAATCCATTTTCTAAGTGTTCTGTGTGTAACTGTAAATTTATATAAAAATGATCTTTTGATATCATTCATTCTGACTCATTCTATGTAGTCCTAGTGAAGTTTTTTTGTACAACCTTTAAAAAAAATAACTTAATTGTTTCAGGAATATGTGGCAAACCTTTTGAACGTAGCATTCCCCCATTTGACTGGAAATCAAGTGAAAATAACAGTACAGGGACTATTTAACCTAGATCAAGATATACCTGCCTTTAAGGACCATCTAAGAGACTTTTTAGTTCAAATAAGAGTAAGTGCTTTAATAATTATGTGATGAAATTTTTGATAAACATTTTATCTGTTAAGTAAGATTGATTTTTACAGATCGATTTTTTACATCACCTCTAAAAGCTTTTTATAACGCCACCACCACTGCGTTATAAATCTTCTTCCTCTCTCGTCTTATGCACTTTCGTGACATTCACCATGTATACTCGTCGGTTATGAGTACTTTTGACCTGTCCCTTCTCTAGCTTTGCAATAACATGCTGAAGTAGTTTAACATTGCTAAATTACGCAGTTTTGAGATACATGTTGTGTTGACTAATGACGAATAGCGACTAGCCACTTGTCGTTTTGTTCGAGTATTTAAGAGCATACTAAGTACGTTTGAGCTTTTATGCATATTATTCCTTTATTTCTGTAACAATTACAATTAAGCCAAACAGCCGGAACTACAAAAAAAGATCGACTTTCAATGTCAATTATTGTAAATTTCCTATTTTAAAGGTCGGGTAATATATATTGTAATATAACAATTTTTGTATTAATAGGAAGTCACCGGTGAAGATGACAGTGATCTCTATTTGGAGGAACGAATGTTTGCACTCCGCCAGGCCCAAGAGGAAAAGCGAAGAGTTCAGCTTTCTGTGCCAGGCATAATAAACCCGCACGAGCTGCCTGAGGAGATGCAGGATTAATCAATACAATCAGTAGTATTGTGATAGATGATAACAGTTCACGGTCAACTCCAGTTAGAGTTCTCGTCGGTCTTATGGTCTTTGTATATAAGCCATTATCAAAATGTTGCGATCCATTATGATATTAAGGTAACATATGAGTTTAATTTTATAATAGTGAACTGTTATCGTTTTTTACTGTAACACTTGTGCTTAGTTTAATAACCTTGTTTTGTTAGTTTGTACAAAGGGTCGCCTGGTAAAGTGTTAGATGATGTATGCAAGTGTAAAGGTTAAATATTATGCAAACCTTTCCAGATAAGGTGTATTTTGCAAGCACAAGACATAATTAGAGTATGGCCTTTTTTAAGTGTAAGAATGAAACCATGCAACTTTACATTGCTAGCCAATAAATAATTGCAATAGACATACTTTTTCCACTAATGGGCCTGATTATTATATTACAGATTTTTTTTAATGATAATCTTAAAGGGCACTCTTTTATTTTGGCCTTTCCATAATTTTCCTTAATATGTATTTTTTTTTCTTCTAAGCTTTTATGTAAATGACAATGCCTATAGATGGCACTATAGAAATTGAGGTATAATACTGTTTTATGTCTGTTTTCCTTATTCAATTTAATTTTTATGAAATCTCTGTGATCAGGAGTCAACCGTTAGATATTTTATGTGCGCTCGGAATCTAAGTATTATGAGTAGATTCTAGGGAAACTTCGAAATAAATTTCTGTAAGTAAGTTTGTTTTGTTTAATGTTGTTGCCTGTCAGAACTAACTTCTCAATGGTTTGGGAATCTTCATCTCTGTTGGTTTCCAACTTCATTTGGGCCTGAATAAATGTGGAGTCTTTCAGTTTTGTGTTTGAAATAAACAAATAAATATTATATGCTTTTTATTTTTTATAATTACATTTTATTTTTAAATTATAATCCTTAAATAATATATCGCAATTTTAATACTATGTAAATAAATAGAATATAAATTAGAAATGCGTAATATCATTTAATCTAAGGAAAAATTCAATCATTGGCGAAGTTTTGTTCGCGCTAACGAAATCTCGTTCGGTCTCGAGGAAAACTTATTCTTAAATTTTAATGCGATCTAGCCCTGTATGTTGTAATACTATAGTTAGATAATCTATAATAAGCCAGCGCTTAGTACGCATAAGATTTAGAAATTGCGACATTTGGTTCACTAAACGTTCGGTTCATTAAACTAAGCTTAATGTATAAATATAGCAATTTTTTTTAAATTTTACAACTACATACTTAAATACATCAGAACAGTAATTATAATCAGTAATCGACATTTTTGAGACTCATTTTTTAGCAGAAGTGACCTCCCAAGTAACTAACCTATAAGTAAAAAATTTTTTCAAGAAAATTCATGTAATTATTTAAAAATCTGTCGCCCGAATTTGATGATACTAATTATGTAGGTGTCTCGGGGGACCTTGACACCTTCAAGTGATTTGCTGCCGGAGTTGCGTCTAAGTATTAAAAAAAAATATTTAAAATTTTGTGTAAGTAATTGACATTCGTAAACAAACCGTACATTTTCTACTTTTCTATTGGTTATTAGAGATGTGACATTCTGCATAAACAAATCGGTTGTTTAACGCCTTTAGTACACCTACGCAATCGCATGCGGCAGCGAAACGACGAAAAAACTTTAAGTGGCAACGTTTCGCATGTGTTTTGTCTCGCTCTAATATATAGCTAGATGAAATAGTTGCGTCCTTGTCGGTATTGTTTCGCAAGTAACTGCGAAAGGGCTGTTACACAGCGCAGACGTTTCGCTACTGGAGTTTCGCATCGCAAGGCGTCACCACGAGTTCTGTCAGTGACGACAGAATTTCGCACAATGGAAGCCGAAAATATTGAATTATTATTGAATTTGATTCGAAATTATCCCGAATTATATTTAGTTGGGCATGTTGATTACAAAATCCTTTTCAGAATCTGAAAGCGACGACTGGGACGACTCAGATGACGTTCTGAAACGACGTCTGCACCTACAGCACACGAAAGCTACAATGACATATCCTTGCGAAAAACCTGCAGTGTACTAACGTTCCGCAGATATTTCGCTACCGCAATTATTTCGCAAAGATTCGCAGCCGCATACGAACGCGTAGGTGTACTAAAGGCGTAATTAATCGATTTTTTAGCATGAAAAATCGACGAATAAAAAATCATAGATTTTTTTATATATATACCAATTTCACGCGCCAAAAACATACTAGCGCAACTATGGCAGCAAAAATCATCGCCGCACCGCACCGTTAACGCATCGTGTGGCCGCGCTCATAATCAGTATCATCAAATTCGGGCGACGTAATTCTAAATCCAACCCAAAATTCAAACGAGAAGTCCTTTTTTTGATATCAATAAACGCAGCAATAGCATGAAAATTCTACTTTTACTTATGATAAATGCAGTATTGAACATATTATGGTAATAGAAAGAAATTCAGTACTTATATTGTTAAAAAGAAATGCAGCACTTGCAAAATATTGAATCACTAGAAACTTGTCAACACCGGATGGCAAGAAGTATACTAAACATAAAACTAAAAGACAAAGTTCGATTAACAACAATAAGTAACAAACTAAAATTATAGACATAAAATACCGAATTAAACAACTAAAATGGAAATGGACTGGGCATTTGATAAGAAGTAATACTGAAAAATGGACCAAAGAAGTTATGGAATGGTGCCCTAGACATAAAACGAGAAGTAAATGTAGACAACATCGTAGATGGGATGATATTTAAAAGGTGGCAGGAGCGACATGGATGAGGAAAGCGAGAGATAGATCTTTGTGGAGAACACTTGGGGAGGCCTATGTTGAAAAGCAATACGATCAAGAAACCGGTGTCTAATAGGAAATATAAAATTCGTTAATAACTAAGTAGATAAAATGTAACTTACAAGATTGTCAATAAAGGCTATATTTATTTATTTAATGATAAAAAGACGATACTAACTGGGACACGACAAACGTTGTTTTATTCCCTTCTTTAGGTCTACCGGAAATTTCATGGCATAAAACAAAAAAAAACGACGGGTTGCACTCCGGGAGTGCCGGCAGAAGTGAAAACTTGAATATTAACGTTGTGCATTTTTGATATTTTGGAATGGTTAGGGAATAATTTTGCACAAATTGCTTTAATTATCAGTATAAAAGTACTATCATTTATGTGGTAGACAACAATATTTATTTATTGCGCTATCGTACACAAACATGACAATTTATATTACATTAAATACGCCGCGCCAGCTGTCTACTCTCCATCCGTCTTACGAATTTTCGATCAGGTCACGTGTCCTGACGCGAGTTAAACATTTTTTACCCATTCCAAAAAAAGTGTACAACGCCGCTAAAGAAGTTTTCACTTCAAAAATATTTTACTTATTTATATAAAACCTAAACAAAACAATCAAATATACAGTATTTACAATTTTTTAACCTACATAGTAATAGTAAAAATAATTAAAAGTTAATAAAAACAAATTTAAAAAATTTTGGTCGCTGTGGCAGTGTACCTTTAACGCTGGCAGTATTTCCTCGCTGTATTGCGATACTTATTCGTTAAGCGAGGTAAACACCAGCTCTGGGGTAACCGGTACTATCTACCAGGCTAGTTAAATTTTTAATTAGCGTCTGAGCATTTGAAACTCACGGCCCAAGAGTATCCAAAGGAAACAAAATCGAAGTTGGAGAAAAGACTCTTATATTTATAGCCATTCACATTTCATATTCATAATAACTATAACATGAATAATTCATATTATATTAGTTGTTCATTATTTTCCGCCTGCTCTGCGGCCGCCCCAACTTTTTTGCTTATCTAAGGGAGGTGAGACGGGGTATATGTGTCCACACAAGTAGCTTCCCATATCAAAGCCCGTCCCATCGTCCAAGGGATCAACGACAGCTCGTCCGGCCGCTTGCCACCCTCTCTAGCGATGCCTGTTGGCACCAAAATTGCTGGAACATTCACGGAGGCAAAAGAACGACATATGATGTTGCTCCCCTGGACCCCACACCCACCAACATTGCGCGGTCCGTTATTGATGTGTGACCTAATAAGTTTTGGAATTCAGGTTTACAAAGAGGATCATCCCAGCTCCTTTGAAAGTTGACGCTAGAAGGTAAACTCAAGCTTGGGTTGGATGCAGGGCTGCCAGATGAAAAAAGCGCATGATCGTACACCAACTTTAAAAAAATCGTATTCCAAGAAATTTTGAAATGAAAAGATCGTACCACATATCAGTGGAGAGTTTTCTTTAAAGTTAATGATTCTGGTTGCGTTTGCCTTGAAAAGTGTAACTTTAGAACTCCATATTCTGAAACCATTTCGACGTCACAAACAGTGCACCTGGCTTTAAATTGACTTTTACCGGGCCCTAACCAGTCGTTAAATAAATCAAATTTTTCCCAATCGGGACGATACTTCTGTGGTCTGTGTTTGTTCCTCTCTGTTGCAGAAAACTCCCCTCTTTTCTAATTTTGGGGTATTTTTTGGGTACCTGGCGTCGCTTCGGTCGCTCTTCTTAATTTTCACTACCCATTCTTGCTTTAGGGTAAGTAACACAAAAAACACTAAAGACAATATGAAGATCAAAAGAGGATATAATCACTTAGGGCTCGAGACTGATGATCGATGAGAAAAACAGGTTGACTATTAAAATACAAGTCTTTACAAGAGTATATAATTAGTTTTGTGACAATGCACACAAATACAGACTTTTTATGAAAAAAGGGTTTTTAGGCGTAAAGGGTATTCATTCAAGTAAAAGATCTAGGCAAACTTTAAATTTAGGTTGTTGGCGAATTCCCCAAACATAATATTATATATTATTTTTATATATCGGACTAAGGTATTAATTTTATTATTCGGTGCCCAAATTCTCCCCTTGGAAGATATATTTCACATTTATGAAGTTTTAAAAGTAAGACCTATTGAACTAAAATCTGATATAATCTAGATAGATCTGACACTTGACAGTACAACATCTAAATAATAAAATTAGATTTTCATATTGCAATGTCAAGTGTCCCCGTCAAATCAAAGTACGAGATCTGTCAACCACTGGAGAGATTTGGTGAATATCTTCTGTTGTTTTTGTGGAAATATCGAAAAAGCCACTTCGATCTCAAGCGAGAAATATCGTTTATCGTAAAATAAAGGAAGAAGAAAGTGTAAATCAAAATTAATCTTTGATTTAAAAGCGTGTGGTAGAGTTGACTGGTAAGTTGGACTGAGTGGTTTTGTTACTTTTAGTTTATTTTATATTTTTCTTCGGTACTTAATTGTGACTTCTTTATAGGGGTTTCCACTTTCCAGTACTACTATACGGCAAATCGTAGCTGAGGGCACATCGAATGATGGTGTGTTATCCACGCCTGTTACCAAATTTTTGTCTGGTGTACAGGACAACAAGTGTATCTGCTGGCTACTACCGCGATATGAATAAAAACAATTTTACAAAATGGCTTAAAGAGAAGCTAATTCCAAATCTAACAAGATCTTCATTACTTGTTATGGATAATGCTAGTTATCATTCCGTACATATAAATAACCGCACACACAAGCCATTCGTTTCGCTCATATAAAATAATGGTTCTGTGCAAATGATTTACATTCTGATGTTGTTTGGCGTAGATGTCAACTACTTGGAGTAGTGAAAGAAAACATGTCTGCGCCCTTAAATGAGATAGATGAAGTATTAAAGTCGCACGGTCATGAAGTTTTAAGACTCCTTATCAGACCTTATCATTGCACATTTCATCTATGATTTGGGGTATAATGAAGCAAAAAGTTGCTGATAAATATGTAGCTTTCTCACAAATTGCTGCAGAGAATTTCATCAAGCAAGATATAATAATTGAAATGCTGGAAGAGCGATTTATATAGATAAGCCGTTCTTTATCTTCACCAACTGACGAAGAACAAGAAATGCAAGTGGAGTTCTTGGAATAATGTTCTAGTTCTGAATGAGGTTAAGGTTAGGAAAAGTTATTTGTATGATTGAAATGATATATAATAAATTAGTCCATAAAGTAATTTACTTTTGATTTATTTTTCATGACATATTATCCTATCTTAAGAACCCGATGTATAACAATATTCTTCATACAAATAACTAATATACTACATGTTTAGTAATACTGAAGATATAAAAAAAAGGGTGTGTGTATGTACACGCGTTAGAAGTTATACTTCTTTGGCGTATGGAAAAATTATAATTAAAATGCAGTAGTGATTAACGATAAATATTAAAATAAAACAAAACGAAAAAAAAATATTTATTATTATATAAATTATATATTTAGTAAAAACACCAAAATAATATTTATTTATTCACACTGTTTAATTGTACTGTTACGAAACACGTGTTCTAAATATAAAAATACTAGAATATACAACTTGAACACAGTTATTATCGATTTTCATGCCACCTAGAACTAACTTTACGATGTAGAATTTAGGTGTCGGTATGCGCGCACATCGTAAAAATTAACTCTCATCATTTTTCTCCATCGCGCCAAAAGAAGTATAACTTCAATAAAAATTAAACAGTATCAAGATCATTTAATCCAATTTCCTCAATTTTGCCCACTACAAATTTTTATTCCCCTATTTGCCATGAGATTCCGGTAGCACTATGCGCATCAGGATGGTGTTCAAAAATAAAGGACCGTCATATTAAGGTATTCGTTATTTTTGGGCGGTTTCTATACAACTTTCTATTGTAATAAAGCCCGTATTACGTACGTTACGTAATCGTCACTCATACTTAGATATGCTTTCAATACCTGTCAAATTTTCATTTTTCCTATTTGAGCTATGACATATTTGACTGTGCTTAAGCGATTGTGACTAGGGGGCTTAGACAAGCAGATACCTTAACAGTAGTGTATGTAGAAAGTCGAAAACTAAATTTGTATGAAAATGACAGTTCGTGTCGACACTCGACAGTCGGGATTTGGGATACAAATTAGAACACTAACAATTAATTAGAATACAGTGCGTAAAAGTTGAAATTATTAAAATTAAAGCAAGCAAGATAAATGTCAAGATTAGAATGTGGACCATAATCGTTATACTAATATTTTCCGTTATAGCCTATTTTATAACTGATAATTTAATACCTAAATTAAAGGATTTATTTATAAATGCCGGCCTCTACGGTGTAGATTTGTGTAAGATCTCAAAAGAGAAAATGTAAGTGTGAGAATGTAATAAAATTACTGAATTTTACAACTTCTATATTTAAATATACAATTTTTTCAGTCCAGAAGCAATAGGAGTTGTCTCAGGATGTGTATTTTTAGTGACAAGTTTTCTATTCATACCTATAGTTTTTGGAAATAACCTTATCGATACAAGACTTTTCCCCCACAATGAGGTATGTCAATTGAAATATAGTATATGTATATTAAAAGTTTGCTACAGCAAAATTAATCAGAAAAATTATATTTAAAAGATAATATTTTACCTATTTTTAATGGTAAGTTTGCAGAGTTATTGGCAGGTTTGTTGTCAATTTGTTGTATGTTGCTCTTGGGGTTTGCTGACGATGTACTCGACCTACGGTGGAGATATAAACTTCTCCTGCCAACAGTAGCGTCACTTCCATTGCTGGTAGTTTACTATGTGAACTTTAATTCAACAACAATAATTGTACCAGTACCATTAAGACAGTTTTTAGGAAGTTCTGTAAATATTGGTAGGTAATTTATGATTTAAGTTTAGTTAAAAATGTGATATTATTTATTATCATTCTGTACAATTGATGTTGATGTTTTGAGAATTACTATATTTCCTACCTAATATTATTGACTAATAACAATTTTTGTCATAATAGTGTATATGATACAATTTTTTAATATGGATATTATCTCTCCATAAAATAAATTTACCCTAATTTGCTAAACAAATTTTCAGGATTTCTCTATTATGTATATATGGGAATGTTGGCAGTTTTCTGTACCAATGCTATAAATATTTTAGCTGGTATAAATGGTCTTGAAGTAGGACAATCTGTAATTATTGCCATGTCAATAATAATATTTGACATTTTGGAACTTGGTGGAGAGCAGCAAAAAGCACATACTTTTTCTTTGTATATAATGATTCCATATCTTGCAACAACGCTAGCATTATTAAAACACAATTGGTAATTATATTTTTCTATTTATATGACTTTAATATTTAAATATAGTGTTATTTGAGCTATTAACTATATTTTATGAAAGGCTAATTATCTTCTGCAATAGTATGAGATTAATATATAGTAGATGTCTGTGCCAAGTTTTCAGGGCTCTTTTTTAAATATTTTTAATTATAGCCTATTTTTGACTACAATGAGCTGTGTGGGCCTAATGAATTGAGAGTATGACTCGGAACCCTATGCCATTTAATAAGAAAAATGATCATGAAACTTACAGAAATATGAGTTAGTCAGCGTTAATTTAGCATTATAATCGTGAAATAATGTTTTAAACCAGTCTAGTATAATAAAAATCTACAATAGATTACATAAATATTTATGTATAGATTAAAAAATAAGATTAAAGTATAGAGGGTGCTATTTGGTATTGACAGTGAAGATTTAAATTTTCCTAAAAAATAATCTGCAAAAAATACATGTTTGAATGATTATTATATTTATAATCTGTAATTTATACACCTTATCTTATTTTCAGGTATCCATCTAAAGTATTTATTGGTGATACATTTTGTTATGTGTCTGGGATGACATTTGCTGTGGTTGCTATCTTAGGTCATTTTAGTAAAACTGTTCTGCTTTTTTTCATTCCACAAATATTTAATTTTATTTATTCTACACCGCAGTTATTTCATATCATTCCATGTCCAAGACATCGTCTTCCCAAATATTGTGCAGAGACTGATGTAGTTGAAGCAAGTCGAACAGTCATAAAAAAAGATGACATTAATGCCATAAGTGGAGTTATATTAAAAATTTTGTCATTGTTACATCTAGTTAATAAGGTAGAGGATAACCAATGTATATACACCAACAATTTAACTTTAATTAATTTATTTTTGATTAAACTTGGACCAATGTCAGAAGCAAAACTTACAATGTGTCTTTTATTATTTCAGAGTTTATGTTCATGTTTAGCATTTTTAATAAGATATCCAATAGCTTCATATTTTTATGATCTATAGCCATTTTACTATTAAGAAATATAAAACTTTGTAAACCAATGTCTTATTTAAAATCATGAAATAAAGTTTGTTTTAAAAACTAAAAGTATTTAAAAGAACCTGTGATTAGTTTTCTATTTCCTGGATATATAGCTATGCAATTACTGTTACCTCCACCTTATAAAAGCGGTATATCAGGATACAAACCAGATAACCAAGATAAATGAGTATGGCTTAATAACATAAATTGTCAATAATATCTCCATTAGTCTCCTCCTTTTTTCTTAATCTTTTACCAAAAATATTTTGGAAGAATAAGATTTAAAAAGAAATTGTGTAAAAATAAGATGAATATGCATCTTATTAATTTAGAACATTTTATTAAACACCACTTTAAAAAAATGCAAGTATTTTGTAAAGGATTATTATAATTTAATATAACAGCTTTACATTTCTTTTCCATAGCTTAACCAAATTTCATACAATATATTATCTTCTGAATCATTTTCATTTATTACTCTCAGTGTTTTAAGTGTTTGTAGATAAAATGTCAACTCTGAAGTTACAATACCATGTTGAGGACTTCCATTTGCAACAATGTTCAATTTTGCTAAATGCTCTCGTAGTTTATCCTTAAAGTTTTCATGGACAGTCATATATATTTTCTGAATCTGATTTAAAGGCAAAATATCTATTAAAGCTTCATGTAGCTTAACTAAATGTTTTGATATATTTCGAAATGTTTGTGATGGTACTGGAGGTTTTGCATCCCAACCAACAAGCTGTGAGCATAACATATTGCTCACTATAAGTGATATTTTATTTTCTATTTCTTTTTTATGCCCTTCAATGTCATGCTCTATACTACTGAATCCATTAAGGGCCAGGTCTTTTGAATGTAATTTTTCAAGCAAATTTACTATCATGGGCAAAAGCCATAGTATTACTTGCAAAGATCTGGATACAAGTGCTAAATTTGAAGTTGAAATGGTTTTTAATCCTGCACTTTGTATTGCTCCCGCACCTAATACCAACTGACAGCACCGTGAATTAAAAAGTCTAATTAATTCTAACATACAGTGAATTAGATATTGAACTATATCTGGTGACTGTTTTGTTGCATCACAGTATTCAAGTAAAATTTTAATCAATAGTTGGACTATTGCAGGTACAGCATAATTTTCTTTGTTAATTATTAAATATTTTCCATCTGGTTTTCCATTTTCATAGTGTAAAACAGATGGTATTTCACCCATTTCACACATGGTGTTAATAACACTTTGCAATTCATAAGGAACTTCAGCTATTTTCCATTTTTCATTATTAAGTGCAGTAGTTAGTTGAGATCTTCTTTCTAAATGTAAATTTTGAATAAATTTCATTGCAAAACTTCTAAGGGCTAGTTTTAATGCATTGCTGGAATGACCTGTTATTTCCTCACACTTCAATGAAAAATTATCTATCAACTCAGACAATTTGGATAACTGAGACAGATCAGTAAAAACATAATCTTTATCAGTCCTAGCTACAATAAGATTGGCACACCTTTCATTGCAATAGTCTGAAAGTGATGCAATCAATTTACTAACTCTTTCTTCCAAAGCACTCTGTTCTTCTGGGTTCCAACTATCATCAAAATCGTTTCCAGTAACATCACTCATTTGACTAACATCTTGAATCACATTACAAAGTGATAGAATCTTTATAAATAATTTTATTATTTTTGGGGTAACCTTCTGCAGGAATATGATTCCCTCATTACATAAAAGCCACATATCTGTACTAGATCCTCTCAAAACAATTTCAGAATGTCCATCTCTCTCTGAAATTATTTCTACGACACATTGTTTAATTGTTGTTTGGATTGAAGTCATTGCTTCCATTTTAAAAGTATCTAAAAACTCAAATTCCTTTAATCTCAGTATGCCTGATACTATAGAGACTATTTTATCTTTGTCTGGAATGTTATTATAATCTTTATCTGAACAATTTAAGTCAGCAATTATATACCTTGAAAATTCATCATTAAGCATTTTTTGTATTAACCTCTTCATCTCTGTTAACTGAGAGGAAAGATGACGAAAAGCCTGTAAACCTGAAAGTCTTGTTGACAATACTTTTTGAGTAGAACTAATTAGATCTAGGGCAGCTACATAGTCTGAAGTACTTAATAGAAGTTGTATCATGGGTTGAGTTTGTTGAACTGTACTCATTAATTTAAGTAATTCATGTACATTATTTAAGTTGTATTTAATCTTTGTAAGGCTTATTAATTCAAGTGGACTGGAAGTTAAATTATGTTTAACATCAATTATTTCTTTTCTGGTACATTGAACTGTTTTTATAGCTCGAGCCATTTGTTCCATTATAGTATCATGAGATAGCATAGCATGAAAGAAAGCGTCTGATTTTTGGGCAACTTGCTTTGATATTTTCACTTCAACCACATCAAGGTATGTACTTAATGTTTCTTGAAGTATTCTTATAGCTGAATTTATATCTTGCGAATGGGAAAGTCCAGGAAATATTTGTCCAAAATTTCTTGGATCATTAAGTGCTAATGATTGTTCATAAAAAATACTAGGTACTTCACACTCATGTTCGATAATTGGGGCCTTGGACTTTATAGGTATGTTTTCCTTCAACTGACAATGTCTCCTAAATCTTTTTGATATCCTTTTACAGTAAGTCTCAAAGTGCAATAAGGTAATTTCTGGCAAATATGGACTAGGGTATATTTCTACTTTATCTACAAAACTGTCCCCCCATGTTTTGGTAAAAAAGTTACTTTGTTTACCTCTATTAGGATCATTTAAGACTGCTGGCAAATTTAATGAAGACGAGTAAAAGTTCCAATTTTCGGAATCATTTCTGTTGTGTAAATGATGTTGCCTAATATGGTATTTAAAACCTGCTTTTCTTAGATCACCAAACTGCAATGCAGAACAAATTCCATTTGGCCCATATTGGCATAGTATCATAGATCCATCTTTAATACTGTGCTTTTCTTGAATATGTCTGAAAAAATATTAATATTATTAATTTAAAATTGATATCACCTCAACTCAAAATTAATTTTAAACTATAACAAAATGATTATAGAGCTCCATCACGTAGCGTGATAATAAATAGCCTTCCACCAGATAAATGGACTAACCAACACGAAAAGATTTTTTAAGTAATGCTTGACGTCAGCTCTGTCAACCAAACAAATACAGATTTCAGCTATATAATATTATAAATGTAAAGATACCAACTTTTCGAATTCCGAGGTCGTAGTGAAGAGTAATTTTGGGCAATGGACACAATTTTGCCATATTGGCGTTTTAGAACAGGCATTCGAATTATTCTCCATAACATGATTATCTTCACCAAAAGACGTTTAACTCGGTTATCTTGTTTGAGTCATTGAAAGTTGAATTAACTATTCATGATTTAAAAATAATATTAATTGTTACACCCGCTTAATAAGAAACTAATTTTTACAAAACATGACGAAGGCCCCAAGGCCATAATTTTTTAACTTATACTTTAAGATAGTGTCAACTGTCAAATAACATTTTCATATAAAATGAATGGCGAGTGTCAGACTGACGTACTTACAGTTGAAGTTTACGCAGTAACGCAGTACCACAGACACCTAATATACATACATTAGAGTCCCCATAGAAACAATTAATTGCGATCAGAGTTATAGTGCATTTCACGAGATAGTTCATAGTTCCCTTCGTCGTTATGTTGGCCCCACTGTTTGTCAAAACACCAAACAGTAAACACGCTTTGCCAGGTCCCAGTTTTTTTCCGAAGTTTTGAGAGTTTTGTGCGTTTAATCATGCCAAAAACACTAAAAAGTGGTGAAAGGGAGATAGATGGTCTTGAAGGTGAAATCGTTTTGTGAAAAGGAAAAATCAAACAAAGGGCCAATAATTCCATATGAATTAGTTCGTCTTCGGGTTACCGCCATGACAGGTAAGCTAAATAGGATTGCCAGCCTCGAATAAAAACCTCATAAAATTCCCGACAATATCATACATTTACCTAAATTCACAAGAATTAAAAATTTTAAGTTTTGTTTTTCCCATTGCATTCCAAATACAGGGTTTGTACTTATTATTTTTGCATTTTTTTGTCTTCAGGTATATCCAAAAAAACTGTTACCAAAATTTCCAAAGAAGGAGAAGTGGCTGTTAGTACGTCAACCAAAATTTCAACGCTTGGCAAAATATGGCCTGGTTTTATACCCAATGCTCAATTAATTTTTAGATCCCAGTCTAAATCGGGAGACTATTATGACGACATGAACAGGAATAATTTCAATAAGTGGCTTGATGAAAAGTTGTTGCCAAATCTTCCTCCTCAATGCATACGATAGGTGTCAACAAAGCACCAACTATGTCTAGTACGAAAGATCAAATGCAGAATTGGATTAAAAGTAAAGGTCTTACTTATTTGCCGAAAATGGTAAAAGCTCAATTATATGAGATTGTGAAAGGACAAGGAACCAATTAAATATGAAGCTGATCTGATGCTTGAAAAACATGGTCATAAAGTAGTACCTAAGGCTTTCACCTTATCATTGCGACCTTAATCCTATCGAATTAGTATGGAGTGTAATAAAACGACGTCACGTGCCGTAAAAATGTAGGACAAGAAACAAAAAACACCGTAAAAATTACTGAAGAAGCATTTTCAAGTATAACTGCTGAAGAGTGGAAAAAGGAATGCGACCATGTGAAAAAATTGAAGATAAATATCACCGTGATGGCATATCTGTAGACAGTGAAATTGATAATTTTATAATTGAATTAGGAGATGATGATAGCGACACATCTGATGATACGGATAAAAGCCATGTTTCAGATGGAGTAGGTCCTTTAGATGATCACACGTATAGTAAAAGAATAAATTAATGACGTAATAAATTCGCTTTTTTATTTCACGAATTTCATGATTTATGTTTCCTTCAACCTCGTTAACTTTTGTAGAGTTCCATAACTATGACATTATGGCTGAAGGATTATTATGAAATGTTTTTATAAGTTTTTTCCAGTTTCCCATCCCACGGAGTGCGAATAAACATGTATCTTTAAACCAAATGTCTGCCTTATAATGAAGGTAATTTATCTGTATACCGTAGTTTACCCCGGATTTTCGTGGTTTGATTTCTTCAACTCGTAGCAACACTGATTACAGTTCTACCAACCAAACGGCGAAGGGAACTATCTCGTGAAACGCACTATACCCGAAAATTAAAATTTATCGTTTTCATTAATCAAAAGATAAAAATTTGATTGATGGCAATCGACGCATCGTGTTTTGAGGGTCCATACTCCATGGGGACAAATAACAATTGTTTTATTAATCTCATGTCTGTGATCTAGTCCGCACAATCAAACAGAAGGTTGAATGATAATAATACAGTGGAATCTCGAATGTCAAAGGAAATGCAAAAAAATCGACTTAACGAGTTTTCGACTTAACAAGAACTTCGAGATACATATGATTTATATGACGCATCGTGTTTTGAGGGTCCATGGTGACAAATAACAATTGTTTTATTAATCTCGTGTCTGTGATCTCGTCCGCACAATCAAACAAAAGGTTGAATAATACAGTGGAATCTCGAATGTCAAAGGAAATGCAAAAAAATCGACTTAACGAGTTTTCGACTTAACAAGAACTTCGAGATACATATGATTTAACTGTTGAAATTTCGACTTACAAGTTACAGAGGCACGATTTCGAAGTGTATTTATATTGTATATTTTTACATAATATTAAAACGAATTACATATTCATTAATTAAACTGTACTCAAATGTATGAATGTATTCATTCATTGCACGTGCAAATCAAAAACCCGCCCCGCTCCGAACTCGAACATTCACTTTGGATTTTATTGCTATTATTTTGGGGAATTCCAAGTAAGATGTCATTATATTTCACTAACTACGACTTACGGAGTCTCCGTTTTGAAATTCGAATATCAGAAAAATATATATAAATACTTTGTAGGAAAATAACATTTGGATTCGAGTTACAAAGTCTAAATATTCGAGATATCTCTGATTCGAGATTGGGGTGATCTCTACAGCCTCGTTTCATTACCGTACGAGCCGTATTAACTTCAGATTTCATCTGGATCGGCGATCGCTTTTATGGAACTAGTAATTTTCTTTTGCGAACTAGCGAACCGTGGAAGTTTTTCCCGGTAGATACGACCTCCAATCTTGGCAGTTTTCCATGAGCTTGGAAATGTGGCCGATGAAAGAGGTCAGAGGCTTATTTTAAGGAGATCAGGCGTGACTCACAGTTATTTGATACCGTTGTAATTTCTTACAACTTACTTAAATTATGCTAAATGACCGGTGGGTCGCGAAGTCGTCAAGAACGCAAAGTGCTTGCTCTATATTACAGATGATTGTGTACGGCTGCAGCAAAACATTGATCAAGTGGTTAATTGGAAAGTGAGAAATAATTTAATCTGGAATATAGTGTAATGGTAACAATATTAATAAAATTAAACTTATAAACATAAACTAATAATAATAAAATAATATACATTGAAATAAATAACGAAACTTAACATAAACTAAAATATATCATTAAAAGGAGTCCCTTTAGGCAAGGTTCCGAAGATACTGGCAGCGTTCCCCCTTTGAATTGCTAGACTAATTCTTTGTCCGAGGTAGCTGCCAGATCTTCGGTCTCCTGTGATGTCGACTAACCTTTTTGAAATTTCTTTAAAAAGCCTTAAAGCGCTAGGACCCCACGGACCAAGGGTCTCGACACCGAATGGGACAAAATCATATTCAGAGCCCAGACCCCTGTATTTGCCTGCTTTATTTTTTTCAGCCGCTTCACAAGCCGCACCAGCTCTGTAGTTGGTTCCATGTAGATGGGAAGGGGCCAGCGTGTCTGAACAGGTTGCATCCCATACCAGTACCCGACCCATCTTCCATGGAATCAAACTCATACCGTCCGGTCTCTTGCCATCGTCTCTTGCAATACCACTTGGCTCAAGAAGACTTGGCACGTTGACGGTGGCAAGGGAACGGCGTATGATATCGTTAAGTGCGGCATGTCTCGAGAAGCGGCCTGCACTTTTTTGGCATGACAGGCCGTGATGTCCTAAAGTGAGAAATATATTGGAGTTAAATTTTTCAAAATGCAAACTTATATCTTTCTCGCCAGCAGGTTTGCCAACTCGTCATAATTATACCATTAATGGTAAAACGTTGGGTAGAGTTTTAGACGTAAAATATCTCGGAATATATTTAATTGTGGATGTTGGTTTGCCCATTATATTGTTACGAAGACGGGTTGACTGCTATGTTTCTCGATTTTTCCACCAGTTAGACGCTTTCAGCAAGCTGAAATGTGATTTCTGACCGTTTCAGGGTCAATCACATATAAGAAAATTGTAATTTGCATAATGTTACCCTTGTTTTCAGGAGGCTGAAACATTTGTTCAGGCAGTTTCAGAACAAGTGTAGTTTAGTGGTACAGTTCTCAGGAACCCGTTTTCAGGCGTCTTCTGGATTGGTTGGACCCCTTTGATGAAGGAATATTCTGAGTTAAGTTTCGAAGTGTGAGACTAGGACGGAATGATACGCGCAAGAGAGGAAAGATAGGAACATTCTAGAACACAGTACGACAAAGACGGATTTATGTGCCAAACAGATACAGAGTACGTACGGTCTAGAATTGTCCGATAAGGATAGACCGGCTACTCAGTACCGCTCCTGCCTAGAAAGTTCTCGAATATCGTTCAAGATTATTCCCAGGGAATAAGCGAACCGAAACGCGACCTATCAATTCAGTTTCGAGTGCGATTCCGAGAGATTAACATCGAAGATATAAAGTGCGAATAGTGAAGACAAGTGATAAAGAACTGTGTGATGTGCGCGTAATTGAAGTAACTAGTGACCGTATTTTGTGTGTGGTAATTAGTGTATTTCTGCGCGTAATTTTCGTTTTTTTTAGTGTAAACAAATTCCTCGTTGATTTATTTAAAAATAAACCCTGAAGAGATCTATGGCGTTTTCTATCCGATCCCCTAGATCGTAACAATATAAATAAGATATGCAAAAAAAGGTCACTGAAACCTGGGGTTCATACTGCGAATTGCTTTATAAAATACTGTAATGTAGGTTAAAAATGTTTACTAGTTGTATAATTATGCGGGAAATAATTAAATAAATATTTCAGTACTTATATTTCTTTTTTCAACTTTCTCCCGGATTAGTTCCCATAATAGTTGAAATTAATACTAGACATTAGATTTTATTTTAAATAATCCGGCTCTGTATCTTATCTGGACACGAGCACGCTTTTTCTATTTCTTTGACCAGCG